CTGTGAAAAAACACAGAGGGGACTTGGAAGACTGGGTGAACCACGGGAGAGCAGTGCAAATCCGACCCCAGGAGGGAAAGAGAGAGGGGAGCCTGGGGGAGAACGTCTCTGGGGATGACAGGGTCTAAGGAAAGTGCCGCAAAGCCAATCAGGAGTCCTGAGCCAAAGTTGGCCAGGACAAGAGTGTGCTTCCCAGCAGTGGGTCTGTGGAGAGAGCTCTCCCCCAGGTGCAGTCACTGCTTATAGCAGCAGCCAGGCCATCACGACCACGGGAAAGGGTCATCCTGGGGGGAGCATGGCCATCCCCACCGTAACCACTCAAAAGATGAGCTGCGATGTCTCCAGAAACCAACCTGAGGTTGGACAGACCAAGTATGTACCTCTCACTCTTTGCTGAAAAGACAGCCAGGCCACCCCCACCTCCACCACACTCCTGCAGAGCACAGGTCCCTCGGACTGAGCACCTTGTCCTTTGGCGTCCAAATAACCTCCCAAAGCACCAAGCAGATCACATGACCCTCACTCAGCCTGGCTCCCAGAGACGAAAGGCTGACCTAACTCCCGGAATTTGAACTTGTGATTCCCTGAAGTAAAGAGATAATCAAAAATGGATACTGAGACATCCAAGCTACTCGCCACCATTTCACATGTCCCCAGGACAACCCCGAAAAAGAGCTATATCACTTCCTTTTCAACAAGTGAAGAGTTAACATCTGGACCTTCTCTCAATCATCCACGGTCACCCCCCACTTTGCCCTTTTGGGGAGAAGGCCAATGCTCAGTTAAGACTATGTGTTCTGTAATAAACTACTAATATTCCATGCTGGACAGTATTTCCCCAGTATTTTTTATAGGATGCCAGGCTTTTCTTAGACTTCATATCATACAATACTTAACTTGTTTGGAATGGGTGGAGATGGAAACATAGTCCACTGAAAATATCACTGCTTCCTCCCTGAAATTTAAAGAGCCTATTGTCATCCTTCTTTTAGATTCTGTCTTTTAGGCTGAATCTCACAAAGATGGTCAGGAAGAAAAGAAGAGCTTAGGATGCCCAGGAGGGGGTTAGCTTTTGCTGACTGAATATCAGACTTCTATAAATAACCATATAAATGGAGCTCAGCTCACAGTAGTGGAAAGGGAAGGCACCCGCTCTCTAGATCAGAGTCCTGGACCCCCAAGACACTGCCTTCGTCTGTAAGCCCACACCCACCACCAGCTGGGATCATGGATAGCTCACAACATTGTCGACTACTGCTATCAGAAAGAGGCTTGGACTTTGAGACCACAAATACTGTTTGACCTCTTGGAGACCAGCATAGCAGAGTGACCAATGGATAAACTGCCAAATCAGAAAGAGCTAGTGCAAATCCCAACCCATGTTCCACCTTCACTATAAGAAATTAGGCGAGTTCTTTATCCTTTCAAAGCTTCCCAGGTCAAAAGCCAAGATGCTAAAGCTAGCTCACAGACCAAATAGCCACGATGCGACTACAACAGCCCTAAGGAGACCGTGAGAATTAAATCAGAAAATATACACAATGAAGAGGCACGATATAATCCCCAGCATAAAATTCTTGCTCCAGTGATAGGAACTATTATTATTTTAGCACTAGGGTTATCGAATTGCTCCTGTGTGACATCTCTAAATCCCAGTAAGCCTCAGCTTGTCAATGGGACTGACGTAAATAACGTCATCATACCAAGTGATGATGCGGATTCAGTGAAACAATTTGGGAAACCATGAGGCTTCTGCGATTATTGAGCAAGGTTACCATTATTTGCGTTGTTATTAGCCTTCACTGATCTTCCGCCCTGCAAAGGCTGGGTAACTTTCCAGAGGAAAGTTTGGAGCTGGGAGAAGAACCTAGTTCCCGGGAGGGAGTGAAGGGCTGTTTTTGGAGTAGACGCCCGGTATGTAAGGGTGCGAACTGCAGATTCACCCTGCCCTAGCTTGTTCGCTAGTGAGTTAGTTAACCCTTCCTTCAAGTGGATAAATTTCTTCAACCAGATCCAGTGAGCTGGAAGACCAACATTTTAAAAAATAGTCTTGCCTTCCCTGGTGTTAGTAGGAAACAGTATTTACTCACTACTGGGGTTTTTGTTTTTTTGTGTTTTTTTCAAAAATCTGTCTAGCTGCAAACTAGAAACAGTTTCAGCTGGCTTGTTTGTCTTGGACAGGCTGTTGAAGTGAAAAGTTACTGCTTGGCTGAATGCGGGGCAGTTTCATAACCCTTCATGGAGCGCATGGAAGGTGGGTGCCAGCTCCGGGGATGGGCGCATCTAATTGCATTCACCACCCCTGGCCAACAACGACTGCGTAATTAAATTAAGAAAACGAGCAAAGCAACGATGCAACTGAGACCAAGTCCCTCGTGCTTTTGTTTTGTCACTGTCATTGTGTGCAACAAAGAAGTCACGTGTGAAAGCCCGGGAAGAGTGCCAAGTCCAAACCAGATGAATCCCAGCTGGTTTGATCGGCCCCCACTGTACACACGTGTGTGTGTGTGTGTGTGTGTGTGTGTGTGTGTGTGCACGCGCCCGCACGCGCACACCTGCATGTATGGGAACCATGCTATTTGGAGAAGCAATGGGTGTTCCTGCTGAAATAGATTCAGAGGAAAAAGACAGAGAGAGAACACCTCTGCTCAGACTTTCTGCTTGGAGGGAAAGAACACAAAATCTCTGCTGGGAGCAGAAGACAAGATCTACAACACTGGGCAATCGAACCTCAGTTCTTTTGCCACCTGTCTCATGAATCTGAAGAGCAAAGTGCAGGACACACCTGAGTGTTTCCTTCTACAAATTTGTTTGTTTGTGGGGTTTTTTTGTTTTTGTTTTTGTTTTTGTTTTTTTTGGTACCGGGAATAGAAGTCAGGACCTTGTGCTTGCCAGGCAGGCACTTGTGCCACTGAGCTATATCCCCAGCCCTCCTTGTACAAATTTGTAATTTATCATCTGCAGGGGAACAATGAGGGATAAATATCTCACAAGGCTTTCTCTGTGTTGCTAATATTTCAGTCTTGAGTGTTTTCTTGTTTTCAGGATTTCAGATTCTTAAAATTTTTCCTTTCTAAACCGCTATGCATTTTAAATTTAAATTTAAAAAAAAGAGTAAAACTCAAATTACTGAAATTCCATGTGTGAGCTAATTTGGTTAGCAATATGGTTGAAAGGTGGTAGCCTTAACAGCTGTGGAGCTTTGATGGGCACATACCATCCACCGGGCCACACAGAAATGTCTTACAGAGTTTGGGCACATTTGTGATCCTACCCTGTGATATTCCTTCATTTTTCTACAACTGGTCCCAGCAGCCAAGATTCAGAGAGGAATTTAGTGCAACTGGATCTAAATAACACCCATGCATTGTGAAACTATAGGAAACATCTAATGAGTTCGTTCTGCGTTTCACAAGGGGCTTCTTCCTGACCACGCGTTTGTGCATTGTAACCCTTCCCCTGGATGTTCGCTGAGCACTTGCAGTGTCGCGGGCACTCTTCCGGGCACTGGAACTGGCACAGAGAATGGACAGACAAGTCCTGCCCTCCAGGGCTTCTGATCTAAGCAAAACTCCATGTTCCCTAGACAGTCACCTTGCTTGCTGAAGAGCAAAGAGTTCAGAGTTCTTTGGGAATGACCACTGAGTTCTTTGGGAATGATCACTGTCCAATAAAGATGACATAATAATAAGAACAAAAAATGAGTAGCTACCAATACTAACAACACCTGCATGCACATTAATTGCTGAATGTGTAATCCAATCAGATAGGTGCTATTACTGATCTATCTCATGAATAAAGAAGCTGAGGCCCAAGAGACGAATACTTGCACAAGTTTACACGGTAGAAAGTGAAAGAGCCTGGATCTGAGCTCAGCTCAGGGTGTCTGCTTTTACAGACTCTGAATCGGTTATGAAATTCCAGTCTTCTACTCTTAAAATGTGGCCTTTCTCCAGAGGGGAGAAAAAAGATAGGAAGAAAAAGAAATAGTTCATTTTTATAAAAATTAAGACACAACAAACAGCAGTAAAACAAAGGAGGGTAAGCTGAGGAGAGTGGTGCTGTAATCACAGCACTCTGGAGCCTGAGGCATGAGGATTCGTGAGTTTGAGGCCAGCCTGGGCTATGTAGGAAGATCCTGTAAAAAAGAAGAAGAAAAAGAAGAAGGAGGAGAAGAAGGAGGAGGAGGAGGAAGAGGAGGAAGAGGAGGAGGAATAGGAGGGAAGAGGAGGAGGAGGAAGAGGAGGGAGGAGGAGAGAGGAGGAGAGAGGGAGAAGGAGAGGGAGAGGGAGAAGGAGAAGGAGAAGGAGAAGGAGAAGGAGAAGGAGAAGGAGAAAGAGAAGGAGAAGGAGAAGGAGAAGAAAAGAAAAGATAGAGGATCTCAGAATCTGGTTTGTTTGTTTTTCCTCACTAGGAAAAATGGCTACAGGGCAAAAGGCAGGAATTTTCAGATCCCTTCTCCTGTGAATAAGTCTGAGACAGGCATATGGGTAGAAATACTTCTTTGTGTGATGATAAATCTGTCATATCCATGCCACCTGGTGCATAGAGAAACTGCCCATATGAAATTTGCCTAAAGTATTAACTAAAGGCCTGTCCACCTGTACGTGTCTTTTGCAGAAAATCCAAGGCTCAAAGCCTACTGTTGTCTTGGTTGGTAAAAGGTTGAGACTCAACGTTAGAAATTAATGATTGCAGTTGGCAGGAAGGATGAGTACTGGTCTCCTATAGCACAGCAGCGTGACTATAGTTTACAGCAATTTATTATGTTTCATAAAGAGGGCCACGGCAGTCTGAAATGTCCCCAAATAAAGAAATGGTAAGTATTTAAGGTTATGGAAATGCTAATTACCCTGTTTTGATCATTATACATTGTATACATGCATTAAATGATCTATTACACTATGACCCATACATTGTCCTATTTAAAAAAGATTAATATTCTATGAAGAAATAAAACTTCATCTGCTTAATGTCCTTTCCCCCCCTCTGATTTATAGGAAGTACATTTGAAGAATGCAAGCAGGGGGAGTGCAGGAAACAAGAACTACAGGATGTAGGAAGACCCTCCTGGAGAGTGAAGAATTAACATGTCACCGCAGCATCCCTTGCTCTGCGCAAGTCACCTGTTAAACATTGGAACGCCTCCCAAAAAATAAGTTTGATAACGTTTCCAAGATGGGCATTTCCCCCCAGTGAAATATACAAGTAAATATTCCAACATTGTCTTTAGGAGTGATTGTTGTAAGCTTTGCACTTGCAAAAATGGTCCTGGAGTTGGTAGATTGCTGTTGATTCTTGTCAATAATGTTCTATAGAGAAAAGTGTATCTATCTTAGTCCCTGCCTCGCAAGAGCCACAATGCATGGGTGTTGTTTAGATCCAGTTGCACTAAATTCCTCTCTAAATCTTGGCTGCTGGAACCAGTTCAACAATCTGTCTCAGTGGTTCATGAATTGTTTTCTTATTTGCACTTCTTTCTAGGTAACACAAACTGTTGGTCTTACAGTGTCTACTAATCGTTGTCTCCCCCCACCACTCCCTCCCCACCATTTGCAATTTGGCAAATGTGGCCTCCTCAAAAGCAGTGCTAATAGGCAAGCCACCCACCAACTTTTAAACTACCGGACTCCACCTGTGGCGTTTGTACCAAACAGAAGTTGATGCATTTATTTTACACACGAAGCTTTAATTTTTTTCCACATCATGCCACACACACACACACACACACACACACACACACAATTTCAGGCAAAATGTCACAACTTTGAGGCCAATCATTTTTAGGTGTATGTTTGACACATAGAAAGTCTCTTAAACTCTCAGCAGTTCCTGTGAAGGATGAGTTAGTGTGCAACCTGATTGTCCTTCTCTCAATTTATTTTTTCCATATAGAGCACTATATAAATTTAGCATATCAATAATACAGGCTATATCAAACCGTATGTAAAACTCTGTTTTTTTTAGTACAATGGTGCTATTTTGTAGTTTGTTATATGAAAGGGTCTGGTCAAAACGGTAAAAGGTGAAAGCAAAACGGAAGGGAAAGCCTGGAGCCAAAGATGGCGCAGAGGAGCAGAGAAGGGAGAACCCCATCCCTTGGGGGAGAGTGCCCAGTCTCCCCAGTTACCCTCCCAGGGAGCTTCAGATGCGGGAGTCCACACACACAGACTCGACCAGGGAGTGCAGAGGAAGCTGTGGAATGCAAAGAGCAGAAGGCCAGCCAGGACTTTTAAGTCCTGGTTTCTTTTTCTCACTGAAGAAACAAACATCTGTGAGCTCTGCCATGGACTCACCACTGCATAACCTTGAGCTAGTCCCTTCACCTCTCTGTGCCTGTTTCCTCATCTGAAAAATGGGGGCAATATGTCATCTACCTACCTCAAAAGGGTGGTATGAGGATTAACAAGATAAAGGTTCAGATCTTTACCCAGCTTTGTCACGAGGGTGCTACATCAGAGCCCCTGAATTGCTGGGCTGCAAGGAATTCCACTAACAACCCATTCCCCACACAGCTAGAGAGTTTTTAACTGAAAGTTCCTGCTATCTCCTACCATTCCAATCAGTGCTACCCAACTAATCAACTAGGTTTGAAAAGCTAACAGCACAACCTCTTTCAAAACACTTCCCAAACTTTTAGAAACATTTGCTTTACAATTTGCTTGTGAATTCTACCTTTGAACATATAAATGTAAAGCTAAGTGAAAAAGGAGAAAGGAAAAGTAAAAGAGTAGAGAAGAAAAGGTCTCCACCAGGGAAAGGGCAATTGATTATCCATTAGTTAGGTCTTACTGATTCTCTCAGATAGCTGTAATCAATCTAGTAACACCTCTTTTAATATTATAAATTATACTCTATTTGTTTTGAAAAATACATTTTTTTCTTCGCTTTAGACAATATAAGAAAAATGTCCTGAGATTTTACGTATTAAAATAATATCTAATAAAAAGTCACAAAAGAACTTTCCTTAATGCATTTTATTCTTATCCTTTGTTGTATATACATATATATATATTTTAACTTTGTTAAAATATGCTAAGTAGAGTTGCTAGTTGAGGTGCAAAAAATTTGTGCTTAATCTTGAAATTTCCCCTCCTGTCTGCCCGGCTCTTTCTCTGTGGCTTAGACATTAAACCCAACACTGGCGCCCTGAAAATCCCTCGGTGAGGATAAGCCATCCACTGGAGCCTAGAAATTGCTCCTGGTCTCTGCATCAAAATTTTCCTTATAGAGCAATGAATTATCCAGCATTCAGATTTTCATCTGCCTTAGACTTTTTGGTAAAGAGCTCAGCGGGTTGATAATCTCACACATATTATATGCTTTATATTGTTGACAACTGTATATGAAAAACGCAATTGACATCTTTCATCTCCAGCTCACTGGGTTAGCTCAAGGTTCAGAGGCCAGAAAGGGAGCAAAGCTTTCCTGGCTCCGTGGTAGAGTAGAAGGAACTGTTCAGTGCAGCCTGCCCGGCCTATCCATTAGAAACCCCGGGCCCCAGGGTCCCCAGTGCTCTTGGAGCTGTGCCCCTTGGCGAGCTCAGCAAGGCTCTGACCGCTCTGGAGAGGTCACTCTCACCCTCTGCCTGTTCTCCAGATTGTGGGCTCTGGGGGGTGACCTGCTGGCCTCCTTTCCCGGATGGCTCCTGGGATTTTGGTACTGTTTCCAGTGTGAGCTTTTTAAAATTGCTCACTCCCAAGAATGCTTTGCAGGGAGTCCTCCGCAGATTCATGGGCTCCTGACGAGGCTGGGTGTGATAATTTTAAGGGTGTCTGTGACTTACTTTGTTCATTTAATTCTACAAACAGTCAAAAACTTCCATTGAATTCTACAAACAGTCGAAAACTTCCAGTGAGGAAAGCTTAAATATACAATACCCTGTTATTTTTATAACTTTTTCCAACATATAAAGCTCTCCAACCGAATCACAATCAACTACTAAAAAAGTAGTTATACTGGCTAGGCATGGTGGCACACGCCTGTGATCCCAGCACTCCGGGAGGCTAACTCAGGAGGATCATAAGTTCAAGTCCAGCCTATGCAACACAGTGACTTAGACCCTTTCTCACTCAGTCAATCAGCTAGCCCAGCATTTTATTTCCAAATAAATTAACACTAGAAGACAAAGTCAATGTATGCCCTGAGGGTCGATTGATCTCTGTATACTGCAGCAGAATGATCCGAAATTAACTGAAGGAGGGGAGCACCTAAAGTGTCACAACCCTTCGAAGCTTTGGTATGGAGTCTTAAGAGCTTTGCCACCTAGAAACGGGGCCATTTGAAGATGTCTAAGAACCGTAAATACTGAGGAGAATGTGCTTTCAACTAATAGGCTTATTTCCAGTTTAACGGGTAATACTCAATGCCTAGGACAAATTTTGGTCCTTCTTCCCCAGATACTATAAATTACTATTTCAGCTTTTTAGATGAAGCAGTTTCCACTGAAAAAGTTAATTCAGCTCTGTGTCAGAATCCACTCTTTTAGGGTAGAAGAAAAATTCAATAGCCACTTTACTACCCCTCTCTCTCTGTCTGTCTCTCTCCCTCAGACACACACACATACGCACACAGAGTCCAACAAAATACTAAGAAATCCCTTCCTTGAAAGTTTTCGTAAAAACAAAAGACCAGAAAATCCCTGCCCCCGTCCTCCTTCCCCCCTTGGGAGGTCGGTGTCCTGCAGATGAAACCATCTCCGTGCTGTGGCTCCAGGGTTTCTGTTACTGGCTTAGGCACTTAAGAAAAGGCTTAGCGAGGAAAATGTAGCATATTTTGCTCTCCCATTTACTGTTTGGCCAGCTATGCCAATGTGGTGCTATTGTTTCTTTAAGAAAGTACTTGACTAAAAAAAAAGAAAAAAAAAGAAAGCATAGACATATTTTTTTAAAGTATGAAAACAACAATTCTATAGATAGATGGCTTTAAAAATAGCATTAGGTCTAGTCACCACCACCTTTCAACTTTTTGTCACTTCTAAGTATTGTTCACCAAATGATGAGTTTGGGATACAGGAGCAGAAGATGGGAAATTAGTAAAGGTGAAAGGCTCCGTTATTTGTTGGCTCTCAAACTCAGCAAAATTCACAATGTATTATCCAATTTGAAGACTTTAATGAAGACGATGGAGTTTATAGAGGGGGGAAAGGATCGTATAGGTAAATGGCGAGACTAAAAAGGAAGATTCTGTTGCTTATCAATTTTCTGTACTCCACTCTAAAACAGATATTCAAGCAAGTACAGAAAATAAAAACAGAGAGAAAACTACATTGATTCACCTACTACTAAAAATAGCTTCTGCCACATCCTCCCTGGGTAGGCTTCGGCGTTGACAGCCTCCCTTTGCTCTAACATCTCACAGAGCAGCAGTGCTCAGAAAGCAATCACTGATCCCACTGGGGAAGGAGGGAGAGTATTTCCTCATGAGAGGGGGTTATCTACTGATCCAGAAGGAGAAGAATTTATGAGAAATTGTTGAAAGAGATGGCTAACGATCTGTGAAGATTTTTGTGTTTGTGGTTTTGTTTTTGTTTTTGTTTTTTACTTTATACAGTCTTTATGAATATCTTAATGTTCAAAAATGACTTGGTCTTTTTCTTCTTTTTTTCATATTGGAATAAGGGATGATAAGTTAAACCCATGTAGGCTTTTTAAACTATAGGCTAGATAGGAATGTATGTTTGACTTATTGAATCAGACTATTTAAAATGTTTTGCTATTTTTAATCTTAAAAGATTGTCCTAATTTATTAGAGTAGAACCTATTGGGCTCTTCTCATATGAAAGTGCATTCCCATTCTAAACGCACAGGCTCTCCCAGCAATGTTTTTTTAAAAAATCTGATTTATCTTTTGGCATCATTCACTTTAAAATATAGTAGAAAAATGTGCGTCACTCTTCCCTTCCTCTGCAATGAGTATAAAGCCCAAGGTCAGAGGGGGCAAAAGCAAAAGAAAAATTTTGTAGATTCTTGTGTTTGTTTAGATTTTGTGTTCAATGCTAGTGTTAATCCTATAATACCTATTTGCTTATCGCTATTTTGATATTCTATAAGATTTTCCTGTTAGGTATTAGAAATTGATACTTAGATACTGTTTTTGTGTGATTTCTATTTAAAAAGAAAAGGGAGACAAAAGAGATTTAAATGCATATGGTACAGGATAAAGATACCAACATAAGTAACAAAGTCTGTTTACAGAGTAACCTCCCTACACACACACACACACACACATACACACACACATTTTTAAAAAGGAAAACTCTCACAGATAAAGACAGAGGCCCAAGGGATTTTTGAAACCACCTTGACTCCTCTTAATTTTTTTTTTTTCAGACTCTCCATCAGTATTGTATACATTGCCCCAAGCTGAAACCCTAGAAGTAAAAGAACCTCTTTAAAAACACATATTTCCTGATTACCCTGATATGAAACAAGGTCCTTCTCTCTTCCTGTTTTCAATTGTCATGGATATGGATGGTCCCAAGGGAAATTTTTTTAATTAGAAAACAGAGAGAGAGTACAAAAGTCCAAAATGTTACTGCCCAATTGAAATATGAGCTAAGATGGAAATAGTTTCTCCTGCCTAAAAATCCAGGTTGACTCACCTTCACAATGACCTTCCACAATCCTTAGATTTTTGCCTTTGTTTAAATTGCCAGAACTAAAAGCAAATATTTTTCATTTTCTTTTGCCCAAAATGCACTGATGTAAAGTAGGAAAAATGAAAATGGGGCTCTGAAATCCCCTTCCAAGCCACCCACTGACCCACTCACCTGGAACAGCAAAGTCACTTCTGTTGCTCTCTTAATCTAATTGTGTTTGGATATTTATCTTGTACCTGCTGCTAAGTACGCTGCAGGGCGGAACTCTGAAACCTCAAGCTATCTACTCAATATCCCTTCTCTTTGTCTGTGTATCATTAAAATGTCTATTCACAATATCAGAAACGTTCAAACATCATGCAGCTTATATTCAGTTGATACAAAAGCCCCAAATACCACGTTGGATCTCTTTTTCTGCTAAGAGAGTTAATGAACTATGAGAATTGGGATTACATCACGTATTTTGCTTCATGTATTTTTATCACACTTATAGGCCAAGTGTGATAAATAAACCTACAGCCACTGAATTAATTTTCCCTGCCACTTTGAAGCCAGAAAAGGATGATTGGTCATTCACTGTGTCTAAGTTCGAAAGCGTTTTCTGTATTAAATTATTTCTGATTGTATTTGAAATTATTATTCAGTTCATCTATGGCAGAGGAATATCAGCCCTAATGACTTCTAAAAATGTAACTAACTGAATCATTATCTTACATTTACTGTTTCATAAACATATTTTGAAAATGTATGGCTAGAGTGTCATAATAAAATGGTATATCTTTCTTTAGTAGTTACATTAAAATTAATCATGATTGGTTAATTGATTCTTTTGGATAATGTTGGTGTAAAGTGTCATTCCTTAAGAAGTCTACTGTTAAATAGCATTTTTATTGATTAAAGTCTTGCAACAAATAAACATGAAAACCTATCCAGAAAGTAAAATAAATAATACAATAAAATGAAGATATCTTATAAAATTTACAGATTATATTTAAAAATAAATATATTTCAAAGGACTTGTACAAAGCATTATGAGTAAGAGATGTATGGATCTATGCACTGACGATAAATTAGAAGCTGACCCCTCTCACTATGACCCAAAATCTATGAATGAGCTATGATGCAAGGTGTTTGGGAAAAGATTTTCTCACCAAACTCTCTAAATATATCATACAGGGTACATAACATACAACTGGCATGTAATGCACACCCATACTCAGAGATTTTAGAAGAATGTGATCTCCCAGCACTGGGTTTTTATTTCAATAAATCTAGTTCTTTTACTGAATAGGTACTATAGCTGTCAAACTCACAGCAGCATTTATAAAAATGCAAGGTGTAAAGATTTATAGTTTCTCTCCTTTTAGAAACATATAATTCCATTTTCCTTTTTATAAACCCCATGTTAACTAATCCAAAAATTGATAAAATGTGAAAATAAGGCTCAGGACTTTGTACTTGCCTTTCAGGAAATAAGAGTGAAGTTTCCTTAGTACTTTCCACAGTGACAGCCATAGCTCAGCTCCCCGTCAGGTCTCTCTCTCCCCAACCCCTCGTCTCTCTTAGAATCTCCAGGGACCGCCCCTGGGTTCACATTATTTAGTCCCTCTTCCACCAAACATCCTACTCACACTGTCAGCATTTTGCTTCCCTTGGCCAAGGTTTTCCGCAACCCCTTCCTCCACCCTCTTCCCACAAGGATTCTGTCTCTTTCCCCTCATTCACACCAGGCCGATCTAGTTAGACTCTTTGCTGAGGGTTTTGTAGGGAATGAACTGGAAGGCAATTAGTCACACAGCAGAAAACAGCTTTTAATTCAGCTGTCAAGCATCACTATTCCTACAAATCCATTGTTGCACTTTGGGGCTTACAAGGGGAACAATATAAGACATATAATTTATAGAATTGTTTTGTAATAGTCACCCAAAGAGTCATAGACAAAAAGAGTGCAGGAAACCTGTCCACACACTAAAGACCAAAGAATCCAGCTGAGGGCCTGGATCCCATGGCAATGTCCTGCAAGAGTCCAGCTGAAGATCTAGAGCCTGTAGCAATGCCTCCCAGGAGTCCCACTGGAGGCTGAGAGCCCACAATGCCTCATGCAGGCCTGTTTCACAGATCTGCGCTGGGAGGGCCCAAAGGTCAGTGGTGGAAGCTAGAAAGTCTGTGCCAGTGGGATGAAGGAGCTGTGCTAGCAGGCTGAGGGATCTGCACTGGATCCAGGAGGCAATGCTCAAAGTGAAGGACCAGAGCCCCACTAAAGTGAATCACAGCCATCCTCAGCAACAACAAGGTCCTGAGGTCCTTCTCCAATGAGAACAGCCAAGTTCATCAGGAAAGCCAGCATGACAAGGTCCTCCAGCAGAATAACCCTAGAGGACCAGCAGCCCCCTAACAGCTTCCCAACAGCTCCCTACAGCTTCTAAACTTCTCCAGTTCTGCCTCTTATGCCGCCAACAACAATCCTCAGGTGGGCTCCCACACCCCACACCGTGCTGGTTCAGTTCAGCTGGGTGTTACAAATTCACCACCAGTTGTCAGTCCACTGCAATCCACCCCTGGTCAACTTGCTAACCATACACGTTTCCTTAAACTATAGTCTCTAGTGGCAGACTTATGAAAGGTTAACATGTCTTGGTCTATTCAGATTTACATTAATTTCACAATTACATATATATAAAAAATTCTTATTGCACTCATTCCCACACCAAAAGCAAACTATTTAAAGGGTGACCAAAATTCAAGGTTAAAACAGAATACTTTGATTAAGCAACCTGATTACAAACATATCTAAAAACAACATTAAAATATGATGCTTTTATATGTTGACCTATTTTATTTATTTACCTACCATAAAGAGTAAACTTACTGGGGGAAATTTCAGTCTGTCAGCACTGGCACCAAGTGTACACAGCTTTCTAATTCACAAATGACTTGGACATGAACGAAATTATAAACTCCTTTTTAAGTTCTCACACAATGAATAAACGTGTACTTCTAAATCACACAAAAAAATTATACAAAAAATAATTATTACAATCACAGTCCTTGCTGCCCATTGATTTTCACAATGTACGGCAAGACTAAACAACAGGGATCTCCTACAATTTAAATGCACTCTTATCTTCGGGTGAAAGGCTTCAGTTCATTTTTTCATTGCCCTGTTCTTAACAACCACATTCTCCTCTCTTTCATCCTTGCAACCCAACGCTCCATTACAGCCTCCCCTCTGGCCAAATGTTTCATATCACCTTCCTGGCTCTTTGCTCTTAATTTCAAATATATATCTGGCCAAAATCTCTCAACAGTAACCATGCCACCTTCCCAACAGTAGGCTGCATTGTAATTTTTCTTTTTCAACCCAGGCAGTATCTCTAAACACAAGCAAAATGCAGACCAAATTTCTGCCAAAGCACAACATACTACCTGGGATCCAGCAGACAATCCAGTTCTTCTCTATTGAAGCCTCCTGAGATTCATCTTCACCGGCAGCATTTCCAGCAGTACTTTGATTTTCCAAGGTCCAACCAGAATCTCCAATATAGTTTACAGCACACAGCAGCTGCCTCTTTGGCTAGTCTCTCAAAAACTTTCCAAATTAACACCCAAGGACTCTCAAGTCACATGACCAGGCAACATCACAACAATGACCCCACTCTCCCAGTACCAGTTTTGTTGTAGTTTGGGGTTCACAAGGGGAACAACACAGGACATATAATTTATAGAATTATTTTATAATAGTCACCCAAAGAGTCATAGACAAAAAGAGTGCAGGAAACCTGTCCACACACTAAAGACCAAAGAATCCAACTGAGGGCCTGGATCCCACGGCAACATCCTACATGAGTCCAGATGAAGACCTAGAGCCTATAATAATGTCCTTCACAAGTCCAACTGGAGGCCAAGAGCCCATGACAATGCCTCATGCAGACCTGTTTCACAGATCTGCACTGGGAAGGCCCTGAGGTCAGTGATGGAAGCTAGAAAGTCTGTGCCAACAAGATGAAGGATCTGTGCTAGCAGGCTGAGGGATCTGCACTGGAGCCAGGAAGCGATGCTCAAAGTGAGAACCAGAGCTCCCCTGAAAAGTACCACAGCCATCCTCAGCAACAGTGAGGTCCTGAGCTCCTCTGATTGTCAGGACATCTGAGTTCCCATCAGGAAAGCCAGTGTGACAAGCTTCTCCAGGAGACTGAGCAGTGCACCATCTTCCCCTCTGGAGCCAGGAAGCAATCAGTGTTCACAGTGAAGGACCAGAGCTCCCCCAAAATGAACTACAAGCCATCCTCAGCAACAACAAAGTCCCAAGCTGCTCCTCCTCTGACAAGAACATCCAAGTCATCAGTAAAGCGTGCATGACAAGGTCTTCCAGCACAGTGGCCCAAGAGAACCGGCAGCTCCCTAACAGCTTCCCAACAGCTTCCAAACAGTTTCTAAAATTCTTTCTTTCCAGTTCTGCCTCTTATGCTGCCAGAACAATCCTCAGGTGGGCCTCCCACACCCAGCACCACACTGGGTCAGCTCATTTGGGTGTTACAAGTTGACCACCAGTTGTCAGGCCACCACATCCACCAAGGAATTTCTGGCAGTTCACAGACCTTTCACCTTAATGAGATCCCCTCCACTCTTTCTGCAGACTCTGCTGAGAGTGACAAGGCTTCCTATCCAGCCCTTCATCCCCTCCCTTAAGAAGAACTTACAAGAAGATTCCATTGTGTTCTGCACATCAATCTTCCATTGCAGCTCAGGCCAGGGTAAGGTAAGGGCAAGACTGGCTCAGCTTTGATTACTGAAGTTGTTCAGAAGTTCTTTTCTAAAACAAAAGAATAACTCTACCCTTAGGAAGAATTCTATATTCCTTCAAGGTCATCTAGGCCAAATTACCAACTTTATGAAAATAACACTGCTTCCTTCCTGTCTGTTCTATGCCCATGACCATTACCACTGCTGCAGCAATACTGATGGTGGGTGCTCGCTGACCACTGGCTGTGGCAGTCACTTTGCCGAGGGGCCTCCTATACCGGTCATCCAGCCACATACAAAATCCTATGCATCAGGAGCTATTAAGACACACAGTGTCAGCCTGCAGCCGAAGCTCTCCCAAGTCTGGGTCTCCCCTGAGTGTAAACACTGACCACTTCAGGATGCTTCTACCGGAGCCATGTTTGATCATTTCTAGCTGGTAATGCAAGTTATTTTATTACACAAGGGTGATCAAATACACAGTGATTGTTTAAAATTTACTGCAGTAAAACACACATTGCTATGAATCCCCCTCAAAAGCCTCCTTGCTTTGAACACACTTATTGTTCTTGCCACTTTCTAAAGCAGCTCGGGAAGTCCTCCTTTTGGAGTATATTTAGCAGGCATCAAGAAAATGATGGATGCTGTTGCCAGATGCAGTCCAATGGAAAGTCAGGCTCATGAAAACATCACACGGTGTCCTCATCCACCCGTTCTCTGCATCTGGCACCCTGTAACTTCTGGATCTTCCTCACAGTCAAAATGACCATGAAAGGGAAATGTGTTAAATCCATTCAGGACACTGAGGCAGCCAGGACAAGGCAACTAAAGACACTCAGGAAAGAGGACTCCAGAGCTGCTGCTGAAAGTGGTAAGGGTAATGGGATGAGCGCACACAAAGTGAGGAAGGAGTATTTTCAAGGAGATTCATGACAACGTGTCTTTTCCAATAATGGCTTTTTTTAATTTAAGCATTCACACCTCGGGTGTTTTTTTTTTTAATCACACTTCATAAGCTCTTTTCCTTTCATTTCTTCCTTTTATTACATTTCAACCATCATTATGTTTTTCACTGACTTTGTATATGT